TTGATCCAATCTAGATCGAATTTCAGATTTCAATAAAATGGAATTCATTAAAACCAAAATAAAATGTTTAGTAAAATAGTTTGGAAATAGATATTAAAGTACATTGCCAAATTACTGGTCACTGGGTGAATTAGCAAAATTTTTATAATATAATGTTATACACACATACACATATTGTGTGTGTATATATATGTATATAAGTGTTATATTGAAATTTTTATAACTATCACTATACTTGGAAATCATATTTTGATGAAAGTTGATATTTTGGAGTTTAGCTTGACAATTAAATTTGGAGTTCATGTATATTTCAAAGTTGTTTAAGAATTGAGATAATGAGTTATGACTTAGGATTATGAACCTGATTATTTTCTTTGTTGCACATCACTTTTTTTGAGTTAAGTTGATTGAATTTTGTTAGAAAAATATATGAGATATTATTTTGTTGCAACAAATTTTTAGAGACAATTTAAATAATTTAATTCACTATTGACATTTTTTATTTCGGATATTACCAAATTACTGGTTCTCCAATCCAATTTATCAAACTAAAGTTTGGAAGGTAATCAAATATTGGTCCTAAAATATCGATTCTCAAATTACCAAATTTTTTTTACCGAATTTCCAATTACTGGCCGAAGAGCACCCGTACCAAGGTTTCCTTAGTCAAAATGTGGGTCTACCTTGACCACATAATGCCTTGATGATTTTGTGCAGAGTGATTGAATCCTCATTGTGTTTAATATTAAGTGAGGGCATAACTAGCATATCAACTAACAACGTCACTCGAGATGCTTTTCTGTCCTGTTTCTACTTCACAAGAAACCATAAAAGGGTTAAAGTACTTCATATTTGTTGTGAAACTAATAAAATAAACTCCCAAAAGTAAAGATTGGATTAGTAGAGTGAGAGGAAGAGATAGAATTATTATATTTTACTGATCAAAGTACTTCCAGGTTTCAAGGTTACAAATGAAGTAGGATTCACCCTTATAAATAGGTGATCCAAGATAAAAAGGTACATGAACTCTATTAAGTACTAATACATGAATTTAGTACTTCAAGTTCATCCATAAAAGGCTTCATCCAATATACCAATGAATCTAAGGAGAATACATGTGTCTATCATCTTGAGAACACAAACGGCATCCACATCTTGTAATCCTTCTTGAGAATATCAACAGACAACCACATCTTGAGAATATCAACGGACATCCACATCTTATCATTATATCATAACACTCACCCTTGGATGTCCATTACACAAAGAATACCTCGTTAAAACCTTACTAGGGAAAAACCCAGTGGAACAAAAACCCTAGTGAAGGAAAAAGAGTACATTATTCTTGTGTAATAAATTCTCCCCCTGATGCAAACATTATATGAGATCTTTTAGCTGACGCATTCCAATATTCTTCACCAGTTTTCCAAATATAGCAGTCGGCAATGCCTTGGTAAACAAATCTGCCAAATTATTATCCGATCGAATTTGTAGCACATCAATTTTACCATTCTTCTGCAAATCATGAGTAAAGAAGAATTTCGGTGAAATGTGTTTCGTCCTATCTCCTTTAATATATCCTCCTTTTAATTGAGCTATACAAGCTGCATTATCTTCATATAAAATAGTTGGAGGATTTTTCTTCTCGGAGGATAACCCACAACTCTTCCGGATGTAATGGGTTATTGATCTTAGCCAAATGCATTCTCGACTGGTTTCATGAATTGTTATTATTTCTGCATGATTTGATGAAGTGACAATTAAGGATTGTTTTGTAGAACGCCAAGAAATGGCTGTTCCGCCACAAGTAAAGAGATAGCCAGTCTGAGATCATGCTTTATGTGGGTCAAACAAATACCCAGCATCAGCATATCCAAGCAACTCAGGCTTAGATTTATTTGAATAAAACAAACCAAGATCAATTGTTCCTTGGAAATAGCGAAAAATGTGTTTAATACCATTCCAATGTCGTTTTATGGGCGAAGAACTAAATCTTGCTAATAAATTCATAGCAAATGATATATCTAACCTTGTATAATTAGCAAGATACATAAGCGTACCAATTGCACTGCGATATGGTATTTCAGGACCAAATATCTCTTCATGTTCCTCTTGTGGCCTAAAGGGATCCTTATAAGGATCCAATGATCTGACGATTATTGAGGTATTTAATGTATGTGCTTTATCCATACGGAACCGCTTTAATACCTTTTGGGTATAAGTAGTTTGGTGAACAAAAATTCCACCTTCTAAGCTCAATTTGTAAGCCAAGACAGAATTTTGTCTTTCCAAAATCTTTGATTTCAAATTCTTTCTTCAAATATTCGACAGTCTTTTAGATCTTTTCAGGAGTTCCAATCAAATTGAAATCATCAACATATATCACAATAATCACAAAATGTGACCCATTTTTCTTGATAAAAACACATGGACATATTGGGTCATTGGTATAATCTTCTTTAGTTAAACATTCATTGAGGCGGTTATACCACATATGTCCAGATTGCTTGAGCCCATACAAAAACTTTTGTATTCTAATAGAATACATATCTTTAGGATTTGATTTACATGCTTCAGGCATGTTGAATCCTTCAGGGATTCTCATGTGAATATTATTTTCAAGATTCCCATACAAATAAGCAGTGACAATGTCCATCAGACGCATATCAAGTTTTTCATGCACTACAATACTCACAAGATATTTAAATGTGATCGTATCCACTACAGGTGAATACGTTTCATCATAATCAAATCCAGGCCTTTGTGAAAAACCTTGGGCTACAAATCTTGTTTTATATCTCACTATTTCATTCTTTTCAATTCTTTTCCTCACAAAAATCCATTTATATCCAACTGGCTTTATACCTTCAAATGTTTGGACTACAGGTTCAAAAACATTCCTTTTAGCCAGTGAATTTAATTCAGATTGTATAGTATCTTTCCATTTTGGCCAATCATTTCTATGCCGACATTCATTAACCGACCTTGGCTCATGATCCTCGTCATCTATCATAATATCAAGTGCTACATTATATGCAAAAGTACTATCAACAATTATTTCTCTTTGGTTCCAACCTTTTCTTGTAGTGACAAAGTTTATCGAATTTTCTATAACTTCATTCTCTTCAGGAGTTGGCTCTTTGAGAGCTGGTTCTTCAGGAGCGACCTCTTCAGGAGGTTGAATTTTGTTACTAATTATTGATCCATTTGATCATCTTTTCTTTCGAGGATTTTTATCTTTGGAACCAAGACGCGTCTTCCACGCTTCAGGCGTGCTTTGAATTCATTCGCACTTGTGATTTGTCCTTCAAGGACATTTATTTTAATCGGAGCATTTTCAGTAAGAATATATGATTTGGTGACTCTTCTGGAGTCACTAAATGCATCCAGCAATTGATTTGCAATATTTTGCAAATGTACGATCCTTTGAACTTCTAGTTCACATTCTTTTGTACGAGAATCCAGGAAATCTAATGAGATTTTCCAAATGATTTCCTTTTTCGGGATTTCCTTTTTCGGTTGATCTGTTCCTCCCCCTAATGTCGGGAAATGTGATTCATCAAAATGATAATCTGCAAATCTTGCAATAAATAAATCACCTGTCAATGACTCAATATATGTAACGATAGAAGGTGAGTCATACCCAACATATATTCCCAACCGTCTTTGGGGGCTCAATTTACGACGTTGGGACGGTGCAATATGAACATAAACCTCACATCCAAATATTCGTAAATGAGAAATATTGCGCTCAAAACCAAATACTAATTGTAGGGGGGAAAATTATGATAACTAGTCGGCCTGATTCTCACAAGTGTTACTGCATGTAATATAGCATGTCCCCAAGCAGATAAGGGAAGCTTAGACCTCATCAACAATGATCTAGCAATTAATTGTAGCCTTTTAATAAATGATTCGGCTAGACCATTTTGTGTGTGAATATAGGCTACAGGATGTTCAATAGTTATCCCAATGGACATGCAGTACTCGTCAAAAACATATGAGAAATATTCACCAGCATTATCTAAACGAATCCTTTTAATAGGATAATCAGGAAACTGTGCTCGTAATTTAATTATCTGAGCAAGCAATCTCGCAATCGCTATGTTGCGAGTAGATAACAAACATACATGTGACCATCTAGTTGATGCATCAACTAGCACCATAAAATATCGAAATGGTCCACATGGTAGATCTACAGGTCCATATATATCACCATGAATTCGTTCTAGAAATATTGAAAATTTAGTCCCAACTTTAGCTAGTGATGGTCTAACAATTAATTTTCCTTGAGAACAGGCAACACAGGAGAATTCATTTGATTTCAATACTTTTTGATTTTTCAATGAATGATCATGCGAATTCTCAATTATTCGTCTCATCATAATAGGTCCAAGATGTCCAAGATGATCATGCCAAATCATAAAATCATTGGGATGAGTAGACTTCTGGTCTGCTAGGTGATGAATTTCAATAGCACTTATTTGTGCATAATACAAGCCAGAAGAAAGAGAAGGCAATTTTTCTTATACACATTTTTTCCCAGAAATGGTATTTGTAATTAATAAAAATTCACCATTTGTCTTATTCATTGTCTCGATGTGATATCCATTATTACGGATATCTTTAGAACTCAATAAGTTTCTCCGAGACTTGGGAGAGAGTAGTGCATTATTTACGACAATTCTAGTTCCTTCAGGGAGAAATAAAGTGGTTCTTCCGGAACTCTCAATTAATTTTGCACTACCACAGATGGTATTAATATTTGTCTCTCCCATTGTTAAAAAAGAAAAATAATTTTTATTTTTCAATATGGTGTGCGTAGAAGCACTATCAACAAGACAATTATTATCATCACCATTATTTGATCCCAAATATTTGGCATTCATTTCTTCTTCAGGAAGAAAAATTCAAACAAAAATAAACATTAATAAAGATGCAAAAATAAATATTAAATGAAAAGAAAATTACATGAAATATATAAAGCATTATAAAAATATCTAAACAATCATGAAATATTTGTTGACATTTTCAGGATGTTCAAAGAAATCAGCTACATCGAGGTGTGTCATATCAACATTATCAGCATCATCATAATCATTATTTTGATCAATGAAATTTGTCTCAACACCTTTGCCTTTCTTTTTCAATGATGCTTGATAGAGGTTAACAAGATGCTCAGCCGTACGATAGGTACGGGGCCAGTGACCTTCCATACCACACCGATAGCATTTTTCTTCATAAACTTTCTTTTTTCCATTTTTCGGATCATAGTTATTTTCCCTGTTTTGGGAAATATTTTGTTGCTTGCCACGGCTATAATTTTCACGAGGCACAAATCTACTACGATCACGTCCATGGTCACGGCTACGTCCACGGCCACCTCTACGGCCACGTCCACGACCTCGACCAGAATTTTGAAATTGAGTCCCATTCGCTCCAGGGAATGGACTTACACCAGTTGGTCGGGACTCATGATTTTTCAGCAATAATTCATTATTTTGTTCAACCAACAAAAGACATGCAATAAGTTCAGAATATTTCTTAAATCCTTTCTCTCTATATTATTGCTGCAGGAGCATATTAGAGACCTGAAAAGTAGAGAATGTTTTCTCTAACATTTCTTCATCAGTGATTTTTTCACCACACAATGATAATTGAGAAATAATTCTAAACATGGCTGAATTATATTCGTTGACAGATTTGAAATCTTTTAGTCGTAAGTGAAGCCAATCATATCTAGCTTTTGGAAGCACGACCAACTTCAGGTGGTCGAATTTTTCTTTCAAATCTTGCCAAAGGACAAGAGAATCTTTGACAGTAAGATACTCTACTTTTAATCCTTCATCTAAATGACGACGAAGGAAAATCATGGCCTTAGCACGGTCTTGGTTTGAGGCATCATTCTCATCAACAATAGTATTACCAAGACCCATTGCCTCAAAATGAATTTCAACTTCTAAAGTCCACGATAAATAATTTTTTCCAGAAATATCAAGAGGTATGAACTCTTATTTTGTGAGATTAGTCATAAGACTATGCAATAGATTCATACGAAAGAATTTTACTTTGATAAGTAATCAAAAGTTGTTCGAGCAGAACCTTGACACGTCTCGTGCTTTACTTTTGCTTCGCATCTTTTTCCTTCGCTCAAAGTAGTGACTCATGCTTTTCCTTAGCTCAAGATAGAGGCTCATGCTGATAACGTGTTGTGAAACTAATAAAATAAACTCCCAAAAGTAGGGATTGAAATAGTAGAGTGAGAGGAAGAGATAGAATTATTATATTTTACTGATGAAAGTACTTCCAGGTTTCAAGGTTACAAATAAAGTAGAATTCACCCTTATAAATAGGTGATCCAAGATAAAAAGGTACATGAACCCTATTAAGTACTAATACATGAATTTAGTACTTCAAGTACATCCATAAAAGGCTTCATCCAATATACCAATGAATCTAGGGAAAATACATGTGTCTATGATCTTGAAAATACAAACGGACATCCACATCTTGTAATCCTTCTTGAGAATATCAACGGACAACCACATCTTGAGAATATCAACGGACATCCACATCTTATCATTATATCATAACAATATTGTATAATGAGAGGATTATATGGTACAATAGGGGATAAATAATAAGTTACCCAAAATATAAGGAGAAATAGAGTTTTTGTCCATCATATTTAATCTATCTGCCAAATTGGACACTAAAGTTTTGGCTAAAAAAATTTAGTCTCCAAAGTTTCCAATTTTAGACAAACTTAGGAGAATTAACAAAATTCACAATAGGTAATGGCCAAGATGAAATTTTTCATTAGTCAAATGTTTTGACTATAAATTTTTAGTCCATAATGTTTGAGAGTTAGATTGCAATGGTTCGTTAGATTTCAAGTAGTATAATGGTTTTAAGATGAAATGAAATTTGAATTGAATTAAATGTAGGACAAATGTATCGCTAATCCCCTGTATACTTTCATAAAAGAATTTTATATAGGCACATGACACCATCATTTAGCTTAAAGAAAATCTTGTTGTTAAATAATTAGTAGCAATTAGATAACAGTAAATGGAAAAATAAAAATGAGTTGTTGAAGAATGGGAAAATTCAGCTTTCATATAAGTTTATTATAAATAGCACTACACAAAATCTTGCATGAGTTGTAGATGTAGGCTTCAAAATAGTTAGGAATTGGGATTACGAAAACTAGTGAAGGTAAGTACTAATCAATATGAAGTTTTAGTAATTTTTTAGAAAACTTCTTTTTGTTTTTTCTTGTTTTCCTTACCTAGTGAAGGTAAGCACTAATCCAATGATTTAATACTAAATTTTTAAAGTATTTATTTTAATATTCATTTACCTTGATGATTATTCAATAATTCAAATAATTTCAAACTCAATTAATAACCTATTAAAATGCAAAAATAAAAGGATAACACCGAGCAACTGTCTATGCGGTGACTAGTGCACGGAGGAGCCTGTAGTTTTTGGTACGATAATTGGTCGGGGAGTGGAGCTCTGTCCCTAAAAACTCCTGTTATTCTGCATCTATCTTTTAGGGTTTTCAGCACAAATGGACATTGGGACTCACAGTTGTTGTCTCAAGTGTTTACACCGGATGTCACTATCTCGATTTTGTAGCAGTCGATTCTTGATGGTGTATATCCGGAAGAACTTGTTTGGATGCCAACGACAATTGGAGAATTTTCCTTATCATCTGCATGCTTTTCAAGAGGTGAAGCAAGCTCGCAATTCTTCTCTGGTTTTTTCCCATATTTGGCATTGCCGAATCCCATTAAAAATTTCCTTTTTTATGCTTCGCCTGTTGTTGGGGAGGCTGCCTGTTGATGATGTCCTAAGAACGTTTGGTTTCCAATTACCTTCAAAATGTTTTTGTTGCGCATGACATACGGCAGAATCTATTGAGCACGTGTTTTCTATTGACCAAATAGCAGTGGAGGTGTGGAATTACTTGGAAATACGTGTGGATTTTCGCTGTTAACTTCTAATTTCAGAGCTCGGCTAGTTGCTTGGTGGCTATCCTCAAATAAGACTGATACAAGGCGGTTTGTTTCAGTTGTTCTCCCAAGTTTTATATGTTGGAACATTTGGAAGGCGAGACATAAGGCATTTTTTGATGATGTCGAGGTGCGTAGTGATAATGTCTGCCAAGGCATTTTCAAGGAAATAAAGATGGCTTTCGAGATTCAGCTCAAGCAATCTGTTGAGGTGCAGACATTTCACCAATTCTATGAGTTAATTTCTCCTCCATCAATACAATTTGGTTGTAAGTTAGTTCGATGGAAGGCAGATGATGTTTTAAGTTTGACACTAAATATTCATGGATGTCCTGAGGGAAATCCAGGAGTGAGTGAGGGAGGAGAGATTTTACGAGATGCTAATGGGCGCCTTTTAGTGGCCTTTTCTGCTTTCCTGGGGAATAGTTCTAGTTTACGTGTGGAAACATTGGCAAAATTGATTGGCTTTCGTCTCTGTTGTCAAAAGGGGTATAGCCAGGTTAGAGTATTCTACGGCGGTGCTTTTGTCCTTGGCACATTCGCAGGGAGGTTAAGCAAATATGGCAATTGGTTGCGGATTCTGCTAGGTTCTCTCACTGTTTCAGGGAAATCAACAAAATTGTTGACATATTATCTAATGTGGGTGTTAATCATCCCCAAGAACACATCAGGGTTTATGATCAGTTATCCACACTTCCACAACTAGCTTGGGGGAAAGTCCGATTGGAGAGACTAGGATTGCCATCTGCTAGAAGGGTTAAAGTTTGATGTACTATGTGAGATAGAGTTTGAGGTAAGGTCTAGTCCCCCTCGTGTAACCTTGTGTTCCATGAATAAATCTTGGAGTGGCGTCCGTCCCCGTGCACGGGATTAACCAAAAAAAAAAAAAAGGATCAACGTAATTTTGATCAGTATATATTCCTTCTATTTCAAAGGGATATTTAATTAAGTTGTTTAATTATCACTACAAATAAGAAATAGTAGAACTCTTTGTCACTTAATCACTAATAGTACAAAACAATAATTAGAGGTATTATATCAAATTTGAGTCCAACTATGCAAAAAAGAAGAAGTACATGCAAAGTTAGTTGCATGAACACATGAAATAAAAAATGAAAATGAAGAAAAAATGAGTTTAATTAGCTTTTGTATATTGTTTATTGATATAACTCCTATTACCCATTGAAAATAATATCGTTCTACTTTGCATTTCTGTTTTTATTTTAAATCCTCAATATCACATCTTAAAATTTAAAGGACTAGAATGATTCAAACTTCAACAAATAGGACACAAAATGCAAAATCAAAATTGTTGCTAACGGCAATTTGATTTTAACAGTTAATCATTGTTGGATTTTTGTCAATTATCCTAAATGTGTCTAAAATCAAAAGCTTAAGAGACCATATTTATTTTGGTTGAAACATTAGGCACTAATTTGACAAACATGCAAAACATTGAGAGGACTCCCTAAAATAAAAATAAAAAATTACTTACCCTCAAACCTCAGCAATCAGTCTACCAAGATCCTATAACTATATTCAATTGAAAAAATCGACTTGCTAAACTCAAATTAATGCTAAATTAGATATTATGATTTGAGCTCAAGGCTTAATTATACTAGATTATGAATTGAGCTCCATTATAACTATACTCAAATATGAGTTGAGCTCAGCTTAATTCGAGATAAAGATGGACTTGTATACTCAAAGTAATGCTTGGGACTAGAACTGAAAAGATACCATAACAACATAAAACCGTTAGGGAATTTTCTATGGTCTAAGCAGTATTTAACCTAGCTTTCAGTTTGAGGGAGAGATGTCTTGCGTGGTTAAAGAGAGAGGGAGCGTAAGTGAGAGGCTTCAGATTCGAGCCTCCCACTTACACATAAAAAAAAGATTTAAAAAAACCTAGCTTTCGATTTACGTAACACTCCACCTACAATTTTCCTTCGTACTAATAATAAATTAATGAATTGTGCCCAATCCTGAGTTGAAGATTAAGGTTGGCGTGTTGTGGTCAACATAATGCTTGAGCCAATAAGTTAAAAGATTTAACAACAAAATGGCTTTACCCACGAGTTTCTATTAAGTAATCACTACTATTCCACGAATACTTACAATTATACAACAAATTTCAGCTCCAAGATACTTTTTGAGGTCAAAAAAAGTGTGCTACTTTTCACAGAGGGATTGTGCTTTATACTTCTGGGATGTTGCTGCAGTATGTTTAGTAATCAAAGAAGAGGTGTGGAAAGTAAAACATATGGCAAAGAAGCAGGCACGTGGAAAGATAAAGAATATGTCAAAGAAACTGACATGTACGGATCAAGAAGGGTTATTTTTACAAAAGTAAGTGGTGACCTATAACCGGGATTTGGAAATGTTGCGTACTGCAGAAGCTAAAAGTGTGTTGGGATGTCACGGAATTAACATAAATATAAAGGGCTTAAGAATAAAACATTTGTGAAGAAGCGTAAGCAGTACTAATTACTAAACAAAGCCATCCTGGGGCCACCAATTATGGGCATTACATCAACAAAATACTATCTATTTATTGGCATTTTACTCTGAATCATTATATTTATGTAAAATACATAAATATTTTGGATAGCACGGATATTCACACTAGCTATCCTTGTACTAAGTTTTATGAGCATTTTACTCTGAATCATTACATTTTGGATACTACTTTGATTAGAATTTAGTTTAAAGACATTCACTGGAGTTTGGACGCATCCAAAGAGCACCGATCGATGTATGTTCAAGCGTAAATTGAAATAAATATGCAACTTAAATTTTTTAAAAATAAATTACTACTGCATATCAGAAATTTACTTTTTGGAGAGTAGGTTTAGTTCATACTATTTTTCATAGTATTTTAAAATATATAAGTACAACAAATTTTAAATTATACC